ATACTTTCCCAAAAGTCCTTGAATGAGTAGCTGAACTTCAGCCTCCCATATTTAAATGCAGTGTCCCTAAAATCCGGTGGTGGCATCCAAAGCAGGTGAGCAGGAGGGTATGGATTGTCATAACCTGACACTAAATGTTTATTTACTGTAATACACCTATCCTGACTAGCAGTAGGCATAAGCTGCAACTGCCCATTGGGTTTGACTTGAACAGTTAAATAACACAGTGTAGTGGTGGCATCCAAAGCAGGTGAGCAGGAGGGTATGGATTGTCATAACCTGACACTAAATGTTTATTTACTGTAATACACCTATCCTGACTAGCAGTAGGCATAAGCTGCAACTGCCCATTGGGTTTGACTTGAACAGTTAAATAATACAGTGTGCTGGCTTCTTTCAGACTTAGTTTGCATTTTGTTCCAGCTTCACAGTTCTACCTGAAGCAACAGGTAGAGCATTGAAAGTTCCATGTTCAAATGCCCTTTATTTCATACCTCGTGGTTGCTGTGGATTGACAGGGCTGAAAGAGTCAGAGGTAGACTAATATGCAGCTGGCCATTTCTCTCTTTTTATTTCTTTTGTTGAAGTTTTCCAATATAAGCAGCACATTAGGTGCTTGTATGCATAATTAAGTTGTGTGCCAGCCCCCAACTATAGATGGTGTGGTTCAGTCACTGAATAAATTAGCACTGTTTTTATTTAAAGTTCACCACCCAGGAACCTCTTCTGATGAGTCTGTTGCTGGATTGAGCCATTCAGGCTGTGGGTGGCAGAATGAATGTATAGATGCTCCCCAAACCTCACTGCACATTTAAACATTAGTATGTTTGACTAGGCTAGAACCTTCTCCCTTATTTTGTACAATAAAGGATGCTTTATTTTGTACAAAATATGTAAGGTAGATCATTCAAATAGGCTGTGTCTCTCCTGCACACAGGTGAGCCCTCAAGTGAGGCTAGTGATGGTGCTTAGAATTTTACTTAGTGCTGTACTCTTTCTAGGAATTTCTAAGAAAAATGTGAAGATGTTTTATTTATCTCAGTAAATTAATTTGCTTGTTTGTTTTTTATTCCTTTATTTTGCAGTACAACAAACATCTCTTTGTGCACATTGGACATGCCAACCATTCTTATAGCGATCCATTGCTGGAATCGGTGGATATTCGTCAAATTTATGATAAATTTCCTGAGAAGAAGGGTGGTTTGAAGGAATTGTTTGGGAAAGGGCCCCAGAATGCCTTCTTCCTAGTAAAATTTTGGGTAAGGTGACTAATAATTTATGTGATTTACAACTAATATTTACTTTATGTAGTGATTTTTTTTAACATTTTAAAATATAAATCAAGACTTGCTATTACTTACATAAAACACCATTAGTTGCCCAGGCTACTGGCTATTCCAATTATATCACAAGGTTATACAGTCATGTGCAAATAGAAAAATGCATACATTACCGTAGCAAGTCATTAACAGTGACTTTGAGGCATCAGGCTCCATAACATGTCCATTTGATTAATAAATCTGAGAGCCCATATGGTGTAGTGATTAGACTGCCAGACTAGGACCAGGGAGATCCAAGTTCGAATTCCCACTCAGCCATGAATGTCTAAATGGCTATGGGCCAGTCACAGTCTCTCAGTCTTAACTATGTCTCTTGGTTGTTGTGAGGTAGGAGAATCATGTATGCTGCCCTGAGCACCTGAGAAGAGAAGGGTCAAACAAAGCTAGGAAGCTTATATTCAAATGTGGTGACTGGAGCTGTGAATGGGCAAGGGAGGACTTTCAACTAACCTGAAAAGAGCCCCAGGTTTGCAGAAAAATATAAAATCTAAAAATACATTGGGGTTTTTTAAAAAAAATCTGAAAATGATCAAAGGGGTGCCTGTAGCTTTAAGCGAGGGATTCCCACAGTGGCTGTTGCTAGGCAACAACAGTATTCCAGACTGGGTTTCAGTGATTAAAAGGCAGGGGAGGGGGCAGGGCCCTTTTTAGATCTATTTTGGTTTTCGAGGGAGGACTCATTAGGGCCAGGCCCAACTGGGGTTGCCAGCTCCAGGGTGGAAAATTCCTGGAGATTTTGTGGTGGAGTCTGAGGAGGGCAAGGTTTGGAGACGGGAGAGGCCTCAGCCATAGAGTACACCTTCCAAACCAGTCATTTTCTCCAGTGGGACAGATCTCTGTCATCTGGAGTACAGTTGTAATTCTGGGAGATCTCGAGATCCCACCTGGAGGTTGGCAACCCTAGCCCTAGGAGCAACTGCTGGGTGACTTGATACCACCCAACCTGCATGACTCAACTAGGCCTGGCTGTTTACTCCTATTCAACATAAACCATCCTATGAAAACCACTGTGGTATAGGGTTCAGACCCTCCAGTTGAGGTGGGGGTCCCCTGCTGCCAGGCCCCACCTCCCTGCTGCCAATCAGCTGGCTGGCGGGGTGGGGACATCCCGAAAAAGAGGAAGATCCATCCAACATGCAGTGACATGTTTACATCACTGCCCATATGATGCCAGAATTGACGTTATCACATCTGGGATGTTGGGGCGGTGCTCTGGTATTTGGGCAAAAGGTCTATGGTAGAAGCCAAATTTATTTGGCCAAATATCACAGCATAGCCCTGACCTCCTGGACGTGATGACGTCACTTCCTGGTCACATAAACAATTACCTGAACACTTTGCTGTATGTCGGATGGACCTCCCTAATGTTCCTGGTGAGCCCCCCCCCCCACAACCCTAGTGTGGTGTAGTGATTAGAGCTTCAGAGTTAGGGTCTGTTGGACCCAGGTTTAGATCCCCATCTTTCTGTGGAAGCTGACTGTGTGATTTTGTGCTAGTCACATATTTTCATCCTAACCTATCTCACAGGGTTGTTGTGCAGATAAAAAGGAGGAGAAAAGAATAATGTGAGCTGCTTTGGTCCCCACTGTGGAGAAAGAACATACTTTCTTAGGTACAAACTACAGTGGGGGAGGAGGCAGAAAGCTGAAGACAGAAGGGCAGATAAAAGTAGGTTGGTGTTTTGGTAGGAAGGGAATAGGGCTGCCATCTCCAGGTTGGGAAATTCCTGGAGATTTGAGGGGTAGAGTCTGAGGAGAGTGGGGTTTGAGAAAGGGAGGGACCTCAAGCAAGTATAATGCCTCAGCACTCCACCCTTCAAAGCAACCATTTCTTCCAGGGGAACTAGTATTGCCAACCTCCAGGTGAGGGCTGGAGATCACTTGGAATTGTAGCTCTTATGACAGAAATCATTTCCCCTGGAGAAAATGGCTGCTTTGGAGGGTGGAATCTATGGCATTGTACCCTACTGAGGTCACTTCTCTCCCCACACCTCCCCCCTTCAAGGATCCACCCCCAAATTTCCAGGAATTTCCCAACCTGGAATGGGCAACCCTAAGGGGAACCGATCTCTGTAATTTGTGATTCCTGAAAAGTTGCTGCCATCAGTGATGCTGTGGGGGGGGGGAGCAGGTGGCCAGCTGGGAGTGCTACCACCACTGCTGCTGTGCGGGGGGGAAGAGTCTGGGAGAGTGATGGGGGCTAGAAAGTGAGAGTGATTGGGTAGAGGGCAAAGAGAGAGAGAGAGGCATGGAGGAGAGAGTAAGAAAAGAGGTGGCAGGAGTCAGAACGAGTGTAGGGAG